AGAGAGAGAGAGAGAGAGAGAGAGAGAGAGAGAGAGAGAGAGAGAGGGGGAGATTTTATAGTAGTTGTTTTTAACACCCCCATAGACACAATTTAGGCTGTCCAGGAGACGCCTTTCCAACCCTATCTTACACCTTGTCAACCCTTGTCCAGTGTTGGGGTCACTACAGTCGGAACGTGTCCATCTCTGCTCTATCCTCCTCTCTTCAGGATCCATCCCAGAGTCTGTCTGCTTATAATCTCCTTCTTAATCTGGTTGGAGTTCCGTCGGGCTGGTCCGCACAGGTGGTTGTTTTTCACTTCTCCTGTTTGGATCCCCTTCTCCTTCAATCTACCAAGGGTGTGGAAACCACTATCTGCTCCATTCTTCCTCAAATTTTCCCTTACAGCGGTTAGGACGGTTGATGTGTCCAGTGTCAAATTCCCTCCCACTTTTGCTTCTCCAGCCAACTTGTCTGCTCTTCCGTTGCTGGTTACCCCTGCATGGCCCGGGCAGAAGATCCAGGCCACTCTTTCTAGGCGGCTCTCCCTGATGTTAGCCTTCCAGTCCGCATACTACATCCCTTTCTGTACCTTCTGTAGTGTGCTCATAGAGTCAGTAATGATTACTGCTCGCGGATGGCTTGTGTTCTTGATCCAGTGTAGAGCCTCACTTATGGCTTTTATCTCCATACACATACTGGATGTTGCTCTTTCACTACTACCCCATCAACTCTGACACTGAAGGGCCAGTCCGATTTGACCCCTCTGTTGACTGATCCATCCCTGAAGATCCCATATTCTCCATGTTCGCTGTGCTCTTTTATCAGGGTTTCAATTTCAGCGTTTGAAGATCGAAGAGGCAAGTTGCGACATTCTCTACCCAATGTTGCCTTCACCGTTGTGTACTTTCCGAGCGCGTCTTCGACCCCGACCCAATCCCTGCCTCTCCTGATGTCTTGTTCTGGCAGCACTCGTTGATGGTGTTCGTGGCTTGAGTTATCCATTCTGTGCCCCTCTTTAGCCTTGATGTCATCTGCCGTCCCACTTTCTTATGCAGAGAGTTCGTCTCGTCTGCGCTGACCCGCAGATAGGCTTGGACTTGTGGCAGTTTGTGCCTCTAGTCTGCGCATGGGAAGTCAAGGAAGTATCTCATTGCTTCAGCAGAGGTGTTTCGTGTTCACCCCAGGATTGCTCTCGTTCCTTCATTGTGTAACACCTCGAGTCGTTGCAGTTGCGCTTTTGATAGGGTCAAGAGTCCAAGCCCGTACTCTACGACAAAGAGTACCAGTGTCTGGTAGAGGATGACAAGGATTTTCTGGCTAATCTTAGCTCTGGCCATCATCTTAAGGGCTGTTAGGTCTTTTCTCGCCCTGGAGATTGTTCTCGTGATGTGATCTTTGCCTGAGAGGGTGCCATCAAACGTGATGCCCAAGTGCTTCAGTGTGGGTTCTCTCTTCAGCACTTTGCCTCCAATCGAGATACTCGGCATGTCCTACCCTATCTGCTAGGGCCAACCTGGAGTGAGACGGATACGAGGGGGACAGAAAAAAAAAAAGAGAGAGAGAGAGAGAGAGAGAGAGAGAGAGAGAGAGAGAGAGAGAGAGAGGGAGGGAGAGAGGGGGGTGGGAAGGGGGGCTTGAGAAAAAGAGCGAGGTGATTGAGTGTTAAAGAAGTAAATAAGAACGACGAAAAGACGTGTAAGCAGACGTGAGTAAATTTTAAGCAATGCGAGCGAAAACAAATCTGCGTGATTTAATATCACTCGCCATCTATTATAAAAACTATAAGGTTTTCGGAGGTTGGTCAAAGCTACAGAAGTTACTACAACACAGAAAGTATGAAAATTTACACAAGTTGTCCATAATAGTAAATACCACAAACCCCCGCCTCTGCGCAGTTGAAAGCGTGTCGGAAGCTCGAAATTTGGTCATTTTTAATCAACCATAACTCTTCTCATTTGACACCAATCTTCACCCCGTTTCGAGCTAAGTCAGTTCAACTATTGTTTTTAGCTAAAATCAAACTATTGAGGACGGCACGGAACGAGATATTCTATAGTAAGCTATTTAAAAAGGTCACCAAAATGCACGGGAATGTGTTTTTGCGTCCATTTTCATGCCGGCCGCGGTGACAAAAATTTAGGGTGCTTCATAAAATGCCTTCGTGCTACTTTCACCCGGTACCAAGCGCTTGTTGCTAAAGTTAGTTGTTGACCCAGAAATATCGAGAGTTTTGAAACCTATTTTTAGAATGGAAATCTCCAAGTCTGACCAATGATTGGTCGAAAGAACCCTGGACCACTCAAAAGTAGAACATGTCAAGCGAATCGTGTGCAAAATTACTACGATTGGTCTGGCAGCCGTTTAGCGCCGCTTGTTTTTGTAAACACACATGCTGGTCCCATCTCTGGCGACGCGCTTGAAGAATTATTTACGTGCACTACCTATTTTCGATTACGCTCTATTCACGTACATAAGTACATATCAAGGGCTGCATTGTGCTCCCAATAATGGATAGGGATATTCAGGAGATATGCGGTAAGTTGATTTTGTTAATTAGATTGTTATAGTGTTACATAGTTCTTCATACAGACATGCGATTAAAAGTAGAAATGATGCAAACTATTTTTAGGTAAGGCGCCCATCTTGTTTGACGTCAGACCAGGATACCCCTCCGATCACGTGACTACATCTAAGTATAGACAACCGCATGGCACCAAAGATGGAAGTGTCTATGTATATTATGCTTAATCTACACAAATTTCTCGGAATTTCTGATAGCTGATTTGATAGCGCGTCTGCGTTTGATGTCGAGCAATGACTTTTGGAGAGGTTCGATTCCGGTCCCGGACAGTTTTTTACTGGACAAAATTTTACTAAATTTCACACATAACAAGCACAGTAAGGAGTATTAAAATTTGCAATCAAATTTATGAAAAATGTTTTGTTTCCATGGATATGGCGGCCATATTGGATTTTGTTGACATGTCTTACATAA